AAAAAAAAAATTATCCAAACCAAGAATCACTGCTTGATCCTTCCCTGAACTTTCCAAAATATTTAATGAATAGATTTAGTTCTAAGTGAATGGCCTGTCACTCAGACCACATCTTCCTGTACATTTCAGAAAGAAACATCAACATACAGCATTTTTATTTTAGAGGGTGTTGTATTTTTCTTTCTGAATAGGAAAAATTAAGTGACTTTGTTGCAGGATGTCTAGACACAGTAAATTAGAACTTTGGATATTTTCAAACAAGGCATAATATACCTAAAATTTTCACAAGTTGGGGTTTGTATCTGTGACAGGCTACCATGTTGCCTCTGTGGCTGTGGCTATAATTATACATATCAATAATGTAGTGACTTGGCTAAGAAAAAAAAAAAGCCAGAGCTATCCCAGTATTATACACATCAATATTAATTTCAGGTATAAATTATATCTACTCACCTGATCTGATATTGTAAACTTTACAGCAGTAACAACCGTACTCCGGGTCAAGGCTGATGGTGAAGTCAAATGTTTTTGAAGCTCAGGCAATAAATTATTTGGGTCGATCAGCGTAAGTTTTCCCAGACACTCGGCTACTACGTTTCTTGTGCCTTCTTCCGGACACTCACAGTGGTGAAACAACATGGCCCTTAGGAAAAATTATTTCGAGATTGTTATTTCTTTAATAAACGATTCAGTAAAATATTATACTTTCATCATTATTTCTTTACAATAATAATAACAAATAAAAAAGTGTGAATAAATGTCAATAATTTGCCACACTTGGCAACATTTTATGGCAAAGTTAACTTATATGAAAATGTTCAACAAATGTTTTTAAATTTTTTTTTTCTTTTTTTTTTCAATGCATTCGGGGTGGAATGACAAGGTACAGTATTTGTCACTGGTGCAGTTTTCTGCAGATGCACTTCTGTTTAAACAGTATGTTTAAACTTATCAAGATATTGTAACAGTATGTTTCAACTTTACACATTGTTATAGTACATTTAAACTTACCATATTGTTACAATATATTTAAATATATTGTTACAGTATACTTAAACTTACCATATTGTTACAATATATTTTAACTTACCATTTTGTAACAATATATTAAAACTTACCATATTGTAACAATATATGGCTTGAGCACCTCTACTGAAGTTTGTGTTGCCGATTCAGAACTTATTATCTAAAAATAAAAATAAAAAATGTAATAAAGGCAATTTATCTATAAAAATCATGCCCCAGCTTTAAAAACTCCACAGCGGTAAATAAAATTGTTTCATAAACAATCACAAAAATTAACATTCACTTACAATAAAAATTTACCTACTTTGAAAATGATGAGAAAAAGATGTTCGCAACTCGAAAGCTCAACCAGTCCACATTTTTCTTCTTGTCAGTTCTTATGCTGGACACTTAGACTGCATTCCCACAGAATTAGATCGATCCCTCTGGATCGACCTAACTCCCAGGGGGTTCACTTTAAATTGCTGTCAGCCGAGTGCGCACAGAAGTTAATTACCCCCTTACAGCTATTAGTAGGCGGGACAGACATTTAAGCCAGCTAAGCTGACAGTAATCTAGTGAGACTCCCCATGAGGATAGATCGATCTAAAATCTGTGGGAATGCAGTTTTACAGCAAAACCAATGTTTCTGTGTGCTAGTAAAAAGCATTAAAGAAACCTACCCTAACTGTGCACATTTCAACTTTATAAACTCTACTGGGACAATCAAATAATAGTGCTAAATACGTCTTTAACTCACCTCTTTTAGAGAGTGTAAGAGTAAATACTGCCGTTTTGGTTGGTCTTCAATTTCTTTTAGAACGAAGGGCAAATACTTGGGCAGGTTACCTACACTGACACTGCCTAAAATACAAAAGCAATGTCTGATGAGAATATACAATCTGTAAAGCACCCCGCACACGGTGAGCAATTGGCGAGCGCCACTTGCGCTGCGCCAGATGCTCGCGCTCCTCAGCTCCCCGCAAACGATGCGCTCTTTGCTCAGCAGAGGTGCCTCCCAGCCTGCCCCTATCGGACGCACCGCAAACTGTGGGATCATGTGATTAAGGAAACATTACATATTTATTTTTTTTTCTGAAAGTAATGGCAAATGGTGACCACGTTAATCAATCAGACTAACTATAACTGTGTACATTTTTGTTTACTTCGCTGGGGGCTGCCATTTTTCTTTGTTTCCGGCTACCGGCACATGCGCATTGTTGGCATGGCGTGAGCAATCGGCGCTTGCACCCCACACATGCTGAGACATTTGCCTCAAGAAACCAAAAATATCAAACACGCGAGATATTTTGCTCAGCCGCCCGAGAGGCAAAAATTTCACCAAAATACCCCCGCACACGATGAGAAAACGGCGCAGCGCAAGTGGCGCGCACCAAATGCTCACCGTGTGCGGGCCCCTTAAGAGATTTATTTTTGCTAATGCATTCATTTAAATCTTACATTTGGTACTAATTTGTATTCTTTCTTTTCAATATAACATGACATTGTATCCTTTTCTATCTTTTAATTAATTTACATGTACATTTTCCATTTTTTAAGTCTGATATTTTTATTTCTTCATTATTTTACTTTAATTACATGACATATTGTACATTTTCCATTTCTTCAAGTAAATGTGCACCCTTTTTTATCTCTTTTTTATATCCATTTATTTACTTTCTTTATTAGGTTGATCACCAATCTGTTTTATTTTCTTTCTTCCTTTTTACTGAGTCAGTTTTCTTTTTTTGGTCATTCAGTATTCTTTTCCGTCTGATACATTCAAACTTTTTCTGTTACCCACCTAAAGCATACGATGCTGCAGATTTGACCTCCTCGTTGTGAGACGAGAACGAATCAAGGATTACCTTCTCTAATTCACCTTGGCCACTTAAGTCTCTGTAGTGAAAACAATAATCAAAAAAATTTATCAAAAGATACAATAACAGTGGTGAGCATACATCACTATCATATGTCATTTAATATCCAAAAAAGCATGTTTTGCTTTATCTTAAATATGTAATATGGTCCTCAGTGAACTTTTTAGTCCAATTTAAATTAATACAAAACATACTTCATTTTAAGATTCACATTTTCATCAGCAACTCTCTGCTATGAATCCAACTAACCGTTTGCAATTTCTTAATAATTGTTTTGTTTTTTTTTAATCTACTATCACTAGCCATTTTAAAATCCCTGTCTTGTTATTGTGCTTTTGGTAATAATTCAACTTTTTTCATGTCAGAGAACAAAGCTGCCATGCTTGCAACTACAAAATATACATGATAGTATTGGTAGTAGCAATGAAACATAAAAACATGACATACACATGTCGTCCAACTTCCCCCAGCGCCAACAATGCAAATAACTTCACAGAGTCTGTCGAACTGGAGTTCTGGAAGAGAATTACACATGTAAATCATCATGCATGCACAGTACAGAAAAAGAAAACAATAAATAACTAAAAAGCGAGCACCTTTTCTTTTTTTTTTATTTCATGAATCAAAAGTTTTCCTTAAGTTCACATTTTGGCATTTTAAAAAGCTCTCAGTTCATTCAAATGTATAATAAATGATAGGCCTGGCTGGGGTATGCATATAATATCATCAACATTACACTAATTGTTTATACTTCTTTGAGCTGGTCTTGTAAAGCAGCACCCTCTATCTTTATGCCTGCAATGGACTGATTTACAACTAAAACTGGCATGTACATACCATTAACGCATTAACACAATATAACCTACTTCTCTTCATGTTTGTCTTGTAAAGCAGTGCCACCTACCTTTATGTCTGCCACAAACTGATTGACAACTGTGGAAGCCTCGTTTTTACACGCTATTGTCAGAACGGCAACACACTGGGCAATGGAGTGAAACGCCTAAAATCAGAAATATAAAACATGTTAAAACAGTTCAATATTGCAATGGGAATCTGGCTAACTTCTATGAACAGATGAAGAAAAAGACTGAGGGGCTTGGTTTGAATGTCAAAATAACAAGCTATTTAATACCAATAATTATAAATTAAAGGACAAAACAGATGTATACAGCTATTGCTGAGTAAACTCATTGTGGGTGTTGTAAAAAAAGTGTAGGTGTAGTCAAAGAGATTTTTTCGATAATATCTCTTACTACCCGCTTGTGAAATGTTTTTGTCCAGTTTGCTTCCTAAAAGTTGTACAGGAATGAGAGACAATAGAGAAGGCTCAGAAATTCAACATGATTCAAAATGATTCAAAGAGACTTTTGAAAACATGCCCCACCACCAGGGTAGAATTTACATCAGCTGCAGGGTTAGATCCAGAGATATTTTCTGACAGTCTTCCAAATTATCTTTGCTGATCCATCATCCATTTTTGACCTTCTTCCGACAGAAAATTAGATACCTGTTAATGTAAACTTGAAAATCTGACCGTCTTCCAGAAGACACTGAAGACTGCCTCAATCCCCCCCTGAACTGTGTTATGTTATAGAATATTTTTATGGAGATTAACGTTGATAATCTGATTTAAACGCATCACAAAATGCCCGCTGCCTAGTAAATTGCACGAGTCCCAGCAGTGCCACCTGCGGCAGCGCCACCTGTATCTAGGTGCGCATGCATGTTAGATTCAATTTCCACATCTTGAACAGTGCAGTGCCGCACACTTTCAGCTTATGGCTTAATTATTTCTTGTGCCCTACAACAAACATACCTGTTTGTGAACGGCCAGGGTTGAGTTAGCTGGCTGTGTAGCAGATGAAGGGTGATACACTGGTGCTGTTAACATCTGAAGTAGCTGCCTAAAGCCCATACCAGCCAACCCACAGTTTACCAGAGCTTGGAAAAACTCCAGCAAAGAGTTCAGGGCAACACCTAGAGAAGAGCAAAAAATGTTTAGTGTAGAAAAACCTTGTAGAAATTTCTGGATTACCAAAAAGTCAGAAATCTGCCAATATTTGGTAATATATCACCCCTGTAATAATAATTAAAATGTGTAAAATATAAATATATATATATATATATACTGACAATCAATGAAAACGCATCACTTATTTATCAAATAACATTAAAGTTCATTTGGCAGATTAAGAAAATAACAGTTTATGTGTGAAATATGACCCATTATTCAGTCAAACAAGGTGACTCTCTTATGACCAAACAAGTGCATTTGTACTCGTTTATATGGTTGGAATCGATTCTCGTTAAAAAAGTACAAGAAAGATTTCTGATGCGTTTTCATTGACTATCAGTATATATGTAAAATTCCCTACCTTGTAACAAAGGAGATCTCACCAACACCAGGATCTGGGGCAGTATTCCAGACTGTATGTCCGCCATGGATCCTTTGTGGATGTGGGAAACAGATGTCAGTAAGCTCAGGGTTAACTGGAAGGTCAAGATAATTGTATTTAATAATGAATCAGTTTTTACATGAAACATGCACTTGTAATGGGAAGCAGAAATGTGCAATTTTCATTCACTTTGTAATATGGGCAGACACAGTGTGTGTGTGCATGTTTCCATGCATAATTGTGTGTGTGTTTCCTTGTGTACACAAAATGAAAAATTATTTAAAATAACAAACTTCATTAATGTGATTTGACATCATAATTTTTTTCATCTACTTAAAAAATGCACAATTCATCAACTTGACAATCATGAGATTTCACATGCTGAAAAAGACCCGAAGATTTCTACTACCTGACAAAAACGGAGATTTTAACCTACCTGGGAAATATGCAGGTCGGCCTCGTTGATCAAAGGTGGGAGTTCCTTCATGATGTCAGCTATCATGGCTGTAGTCAAGGCATTCCCTGAAGTTAAACCCAGTACAGCTTTACATATTAACAAGCTTCTACACCAAAACTGTTACACCACTTGCTATGAGGAACTGTGTACTTACTGGGTATGGTACATTATACAGGACACAGGCCCGTAGCCAGCAATTTCAAAAGGGGGGTTCTTTTTCTGAAAAAATGGACCTTTTGCCATATAATCCCCATGTACCTAGGTCAAATTTTACCCAGAGTGGACCTTTTTCCAGCAAAAAGGGGGGTTCTTTCGAACCCCCAAAACCCCCCCTGGCTACGGGCCTGGGACGTCTAGTGGACCATTCACACACTCAGATATTTGGATTGATCCATCTCCCTGGGGAGTCTCACTAAATTGTTATCAATTTGACCTGCTTAAATGTCTCCCATGCCTAGTAAAGCTGTTAGGAGGTAATCATCTTTACCCCCTAGCTGATTCGGTAGGCGTAACAGACTTTTAAGCCGGTTAGTTGATAGCAATTTAGTGAGACTCCCCAGGGAATGAGACCGATCCAGATGGATTTATCTAGGCATGGGAACCCAGTCTATTATCACAGAGGTTGAAAACATTTTAGCAAAAAAAAAAATTTTAACTAAGCAACTATATTCAGTCTACAAATTTCACGTTTAATGCATCTCTAGAAAATGTGTTAGAGAATGTATTTTAATGTTCTTTACTGTATCTTTTATTATTATCATAATAGCAATTTTAGTACTATTACTGTATCATCCAACTTTTAGTTGCAAATTCAAATAAATATTGTGATAAGACACTAAAAAGAAAAATTTATTTTGTACAGATCCACAGTATACTTTGCTTGATTTCTGTTTTGACAGCTTCTCTGCAACTGTCTCAGAAGTGATAAAGCTACTGAACAGTCATCATGCAAAGAAATTTCATAAAACTATACAAAATGAAGCATTCTGTCAGTATTAAGGTAACTTTATAAGATCCAAAGGAATTATTTGTACATAATTAATACTTGAGGGCACTGTCAGTAAACAGTTCGTTCACTTACCATAGTTTTTAACCATGACGTCCAAACAAGTTAAAGTGCACAGTTTCAGAGCACGATGGTTCTTCCTTAAGAAAGAAGCTAAAATTGGTATTCCCTCGCTCTGGATTGAAAATTACATAAATTCAATTAATAAAAAGTAAAAAAAAAAATACTAATTTTAAATTATAAATTTATTTAAATCATAAAAAAACAAGGTCTGGATTTGCTCAAATTGGTAACTCTTAAAAAACTTAATCTGACACATGCCAAGTCTCAGAGAAAATATGTTTTTCTTAATTGTTTCCAGTTATACTAATATCACAGCTCAATCAAGTAATTTCTTTTTGTTAATTGCATTTACTATTAACAACAAAATCCAGTTGCAAAATCCGATCCACAAACATCTCTTAAATTAGATTTAAAATGAAAACATTCTAATTACCATGATTGGCCTGAGGTCAATCTTCAATGGTGACCCGGCTATCATGGTCAGAGCCTTGACTGTAGTCAGTCGCGTGATCTCGTTCTTCAGCCGTTCCAGGAAGATGGGCAAACAGGTGCCCAGTTCTGCACTGAGACTGTCGCCTAGGTTACAGATCACCTGACCCCTAGAAGTCAAGAAAGTGAAATGTGGAATGCTGTTGATGATTTTTCACACAAATGTTTACATGCAAAGACTTCTGTCTTTTTTAAGACAAAGTGTTGAACAATGTGTATTTTAACTGTTGTATGCAACACTGATCTCAATGAGTAGCAGTTCTCAGAACTCGTATCTATTTGCAACCTGGCACCCTGTGACATATGAAAACAAGCTTCTAAGTGTCTGAACTTCCATTCATGAAATGACCCTCTCTTTGATAATCACAGTTTGTACCAAGAAGGGCCGCCCTATAACAAATGTAAACACACCTCACAGTGAACTTACATGCATGAAATGGCCCTCTCCTTCACTTCCTGGTCAATGTCCGCTGCCTTCAACCTGCCCAGTGTACACTGATATACTGGCCACACATACTGGGTGAAGTCAAAGTTTGTGATACTATCTGCAAGAGAGAAAAATAGAGCAAAAATTTACATTAAATACCATCAGAGAAGGTAGACCTCTATCAAGGCAGATCTTTGCTTGCTTTTATAATTTCTTAATTAATGAAAAGATAACAACTATGTCTAAGTAGATTGTAAGTAAGCCCATTTCTGACATACTGAACGTTTGATCAAAATCCACCCCTAAGTCAAAGTTAGGCTGTAAACTTACAAACCAACAAAGGCTATAAAAGGAACCTAGACCCCCCCCCCCCCAAATAAGATACCATTTATGAAGGTGGGTGAAGTAATGGGGGTAGGTTGATGAGGGATGGGGGATACATCTTAAGGTCTAAGGCCAGTGAGGATTCATGAAAAGCAGAGATAAAACGGACAGTTAAAAAGTCTGAAAATATGGCATGGAATCCAGACCCCCCCCCCCCCCCCATTTTTTATTTGCAGATCTGCATAGATCTCAAAATGATTTTTTTGACTCCTATTAAAGTTCAAAATCTGCCAATAGTCTGAAAAATCTCATTCCTGTAAAAGGGGCAAGGCGCTGCTATAATGACATTTCTATACCACGAATCACTGCAGCATAAGCTAGGTGTATCAAGACAATGCCACCCCCTATATTTAGTGTCACTACAGCATAAACTACAGGTCACACCTACCCAGTGGTCTGATGACTTTCACCAGCTGTTGGGTCACCAGGAGAGCCTCTGATGTGATCTTATAGAAGGGGTCTGCCACTGCTGCCACTATAGGCTGAAATATTGGACATATATAATCAATTTAAAGTTCCGGGTGTAATATTTTAAAATGTCTGGATTCTAACTTTATAACTTAAATACCTGAATAACTGAATTGTGCAAGAGCAACGTTTTTGAGTCATATGTTCAAATTCACTTTTGAAAAATTTTGGCATTTAGCTTAGAGAGAAATACCTAAATGAGAGTAAGTACACGTGAGTGGAATACTCCCCTTGATGAGAGCAGGTACATGTGGGTGGAATACTCACCTTGATGAGAGCGGGTACATGTGGGTGGAATACTCACCTTGATGAGAGCGGGTACATGTGGGTGGAATACTCACCTTGATGAGAGCGGGTACATGTGGGTGGAATACGGTCGGGATGTGATGTGACATCAGACAGTTCAGGAAAGACAAAGTGTCTATCTTCATGTTGGAGCTGGAGTTCTTGTCTCTGAAATGAAATAATGACAGTGAATTCCATTCAACCACAGAGTGGCCTCTAGCCAGCTGGTTACCACAGATGGAGCTGGAATGTGGATTATGTCCAGAAGCTTTCTTTCATTACTATTATTTCTATAGATTTATTCTGTGGTTAGTATCATTTACAGTCACTATGAAATAACACAATGTAGGATATTAAAAAACATTTTTAATCGGTACCTGAGAGAGAGAGAGAGAGAGAGAGAGAGAGAGAGAGAGAGAGAGAGAGAGAGAGAGAGAGATCGCCTGTTGGAAGAAACAATTATGTATGACCGCCTACCCTAAGGAAAAGATCACTCCGGGAACCAAGGCCTGTATGTGATCCGTGAGAGCCCCGGGAAGCACCTGCACCAGCTCTGTGAGCAGAGCAAAGCAGCACTGGCGCGTCTTGATACTCTTCTCCTTCAACTGCTTGTGGATGGCCTTGATGATGGAAGGGATCTGAGACTGCAGCATGATGACTGGCCTGGAAGGCACAATTGTAAGTATCAGAGTCATTAGCAGTCTCTGGTAGCCACTGGTTCGTTTCACAGAAGAACTAAGACTGAAAACAGATCTTATTAAGAGACCAAACAGTTCATCTTGATGAATCTCAGGATCATCGAAATGGAATGAAGCATCATGACCTTCTGTGAATATGGAAAAAAAAAAAAAAATCATCTGACCAAAGAAGTAACTACCATTTCAGATTCAGGTTAGAACAAAAAATTAAACATGCAGCTGGCTTTTGTTTATCTTTTTTAATTCCTTTTAAAGTTTTAAAAACTTCATCCCTCTGAACATGGCACCAACACATGCTTATAACCATAACCGCCTCAAGAAGGACTTCTCACTATGTTCTGTCTTCTCTAACACAATGTAACAGTCACCAGAAGGACACATCTCACAATGCTGTGTCTCCTCTAACACAATACTTGACACTTACCCCTCTCCTTGCTCCATGGCATCAGGGTCTGCAGACACTGTCGGCCTGGTCTGCCTCAGTAGAGAGATGTATGCATGGAATATGTCTGACTTCACATTCTCTTCTCGTTCTGAAGATAAAATAATTACATACAGCAGTTCTTGAATAATATTCCCAGTGACCTAGAATAATTTTTCACTAAACATTATTATAATAATTTTAACTAAGTATTTATACAAAAAATTCATTTTAACTTGAAGAAGATAAAATACTATGAAATGTACTTTAAATAAACATCAGGAGTTCAGTAAATTTACTCTGTTTGTTATTTCACTCTTTTTAAATTTCTCTCCTTATTTCACACTTACTTAATTATTTTCTTTAAATACCTTTAAACCTATTGACCAGAGTTGGGGAAACATTTTTGTACAGGTCAAGCAGCATTTCGTGCCTGGTGCTAATAATGGCGTCCAGACATTTAGCGGACGCACGTCTGACCTTCCAGCTCATGTCATCATCATCGCTGTACTCGTCATCACTCCTGCGGGGAAGAGAGAAAAATAATCAGCTAAGGATTCATGGTAGCCAATCACAACACTGCAGTGGTGATTATGTGGTTATATGTATACACAAACATTCATCAAATGCAGCCCAGAGATAATCCATACATGTATCAGTCTGTGAAAAATACTTTTCATCTTACAGGCTTCCTATTTAAAATAAGAACAAAAACATCGGATTTTCAAAAGGCAATTAAAGAAAAAGTCTTCAACATTTAGTCTGAATATTCTTTAAGAAAATTGGAGCACAAGTAACAGCTGAAAAAAATCCAATGGTTGGTTCAGCAAGCACTACCCACATGTTCTCTTTTTGTTTTCCTAATTTCATTTTATTCTTTTAAAAAACGTTTAAACATTTCAATTCCATCATACACTCTTCACCCCCTCCTCTATTCCAGCAAGCACTACCTACCCCTCTTCGTCTTCATCTGCCTCCATTTCCATAGTGTCTTCGTCATCTTCATCGTCATAGTTGTAATTTGGGTCATAGCAAATATAGCTTAGACATAGGGTTATAATCTGAAAATCAAAATATGGAAATCCTTATTTAATTTTTTTTTATAATTCAAAAGTGAGCCACTACTGATTGTTCTGCATTTTCAGTCAAAAAAAATAATAATAAATAAATAAATAAATAATATATACAAATAAAAAAAAAGTTGAAATAAACTATCAACGTTAGTTCTGCAGAGAAACAAGCCCTGTTCATCATTCTAACACCAGTCATGGCCACTGCACTTTGAACCTACCGTGCCAATATGCGGAGAAATTTCTTTGGGGCATCTTCTTACAAAGGATTCGAAAGCTTGAATGCAATACTCCCTCAACTCGTCGTCTTCAACTTTGCAAAATTTCACGATAAGTGGAACAATTTTTTCGAGATGCTCTCCTATCCTGTGGCCAGCTTGACGACTGGAAATATAAATCAAATTCAATTTATACAGAATACAGGTTTCCTTGAATTTCTGATTTAATATTTTTCATTGCATTTGTCCTTGGCAGAGGTCTTGAAAGATTTCTTAAAGTGCTATTTAGTTCTGTCTAAAATAAAGTACACAAGATGACTCGATCTTTTCAATGTGGAGAAATGTGAATTTTACAGACGTATTTTTTAAGGTTATAAATTGGATCATTCCTGAGTGACAGAAACAAAACTGAAAAAGTGGCTACCATACAGTTTTATCATAACAGTAAAAGCCCAGCAAATGCTACACAGAAAAACAATTTGAACAATTCAAAAATTAAAAATCTGTGAGACATAAATTTTCCCCACTGCGAAGATAAAGTCATTAATTGATCGAGTCATTAATCTTAACTTCTCATTACCTGATGGCTCCTATGCACTGTATATAAGTTCTAGTGGTAGATGTAGATGCATTCTTGGACAATGCTTTCAACAGGAAAATCAATCAACTCCACAAACAAACTGTTGTTGCAACTCATCACCAAGTGACCTGAAACACAAGTTCTGGATAGAAACAAATACAGAGACAAATGTTGCTCAAATAGACAAGCAGGTAGCCAGCAATTTCAAAAGGAGTTTCTGTTCTTTCTTTGGAGAATAATGGACCTTTTAACCTGCCTATTTAGTTGGAACAACTTGAGACATTACACGAGAACTTGGATCAAATTTTGACTCAGAGATGACCTTTTCCAGACAAAATGCCCCCCCCCCCCCCCCCGCTCATAGTCTAACATAACTTTTGAAGATTAGACACTAATACCTTAGTCACACAAACTTGTAGTTTCTAAGAAATCCAGTCATACACTTGTAAGACCACTTTCCCTTCAAAATAGTTCCTGTATGAATACTACTTCTGCTTGTGAACTTACTTTTCCCGTCTGTTGTTTTCAAATGCCAACTTATAGCCAAAAAATGGCCCTTTGTTTTTTCATTCTAAATTTGTCCTGTGTGAAAAATATTTCTACATTTAAAATATCATATTCATTTATTTATTTATTTATTTATTTAATTATTTAAAACTACTTACTTATAGCCAAAATAGCCCTCTTCCTAACAGCCAGTCTTGGGCTGGACAACTGAGGCAGCAAAGCTTGCTGGATTGAGGGGTGGAAAGAAAGTAACAAACCTGAAATAATACCAGATAACATATGTAAAATAATTCTTGTGTAGTTAATTAAGCTCTAAATGGTATAATTCTACTGTCTTCTCACTACCAAATACAACAGCTTTCTGAGCAATAAACGTAATATAATAATTCAAATAATTACAATTATTATGAAAAAAATTGCAAATTCTAGAAAACAGCACATCTTATGTGTACAACATCTGTTACTCTCAGACTCTTTGACTAAAAATAGCATTTTTTTTATTCATGAAAGACAGAAGGTTTCAGGCATTTAATCTGACACTAACAAGTCTCTGCATAATAAAGAGTTTGAATTCTGGTGAAACAAGGTACTCTCTTCATGACAAAAGGTCTGCATTCAAGAAATATGTCAATGCTTTTTTAAGATAAAAAATACTTATGAATTGTCCACGGTGCCTTACCTCCAAATCTGCTGAGCAAATCCCCCAAGATGTCCAAGGCCTCAAGCTGGACTGAGACATCTTCTTGCTGGAAGATTAATTTAATATTTCTAACAATCAGATTCCTAAAAATAAATTACACCACTCACTGACTTGACTTAGTTTATCATGCCTCATTGGTAGAAAGTTTCAAAAAACATGTTTCTTCCATTTGCTGAAATCATTTTATTTCACCAACAGCAAGAGGCTACCTTAGCGATGGCACTGGTTAATCTCCCTGTAATCTTTTTGCATATACTGGCGGCTAGAACAGTGGATGAGGGCGGTAGCTCACTTATCACCGTCTTCAAACCTGCAATGAAGTTCTTCAACACTTCTTATTCAACCACACGGTGTAAGGCATATTTTTTATCACCTGCTAAGAAGATCTGAAAAGTTACTGGAATAATATCTGACATTTCCCAATTAAAATAAGGGACATGAAGCTGTTACTAACAATTATTTCTTTCCAAAACAAATTTTTGTGTGCAATCTTGTGTTAAAAGCTCACTTGTGCATTTTTATACCTGCACATACTGCTAGCCCACGCACATGTGTACTGGTTATATGCATATATTCATGTGTACTGCATATGTGGCAGAGTGCATGCTTTGCTACCTCGTTTGTGCTTCTTAGTGTTTTCGTGCATGCATGCATGCACTGCTGATTGTGTGTGTATGTATGCGTGTGCAAATGTTAATGTGCAAGTGTGTGTGCAAGTGTGAGTTCATACGGGTACATATGTCTGTGTGTATGCATGTGCATGTGTGTGTGCCTGTGTGTGTGTGTGTGTGTGTGTGTATATGTGTGTGTGCCTGTGTGTGTACACGTGTGTATGTACACGTTTGTGTGTGTGCATCTGTGTGTGTGCCTATGTCTGTGTGTGTACATGAATGTGTGTATGTGTTTGTGTGCATGTTCATGCACTTCCCCCTCACCTATGCTGGATATATCTCTGAGCTGTTCCTTGTCTGACATCATATTACTACACAGTGTGTCTACTATGGTCTCCACCTGGAACTCTTTCACCTTGTTCACCAGTGGACCAAGACTGGAAGTAAACAGGGGTAATGGTCAGGACTGAGCCTTTCTGACACGAGTGCTAGAGACACTACAGACTGATAGAGTGAAAATGTAGCTATCGTGGAGTAAAAAAATCTGTTTTACAGCCAAATTCAATACCAGTATTTTTCTGTATACTTATGAACCCATGATCTACTACAGTAATCACTTTGGCTTACAATAATAATAATTATTATTACTATTATTATTGTAGTCTTAATCATCGTCAAGTCTGTAGACATTATGGAACTGGCTATCCTACCATTCATGGCGGATAAGATATTTCAAGGACTGATAGAAAACTGTGTCAGCCCATCCAAGGGACTGGCAATAATATTAAGAGCCACCATTATAAATTTACAGTCAGTCTGACAAAATTTCCTTCAGTAGTGCAAAGTTTTCATAGCTGCTGGCCCAAATATCTGGCTGTATTAAGAATTTTCAAACATGTACCAATCTGGTCAGTTAAAGAATTTTTCTTTTCAACAAAATCAATCCACTAGTACATTCAATTAAAATCATACCATTTTACTGCTAAGTTTTGTACTTCTCCATTCTTATCCTCTAGCAGTTTTAGCAACATCTTTACCACCTAGAAAAAAATTAAAGACTTCTTGATCATGCTAAAAAGAGAGGAAATTTTTATAACCATGTTAACACACAGTGAAAGTAGTACATTCTCTTAAGCTGAATTTAGGCATGTTTATAATTAGCATTTGACTAAAATTGACTAAATGATACGTAGTCCAGACTTTTGATTGACACCTGTCACTTTTAAGTGGGCAGGGATAAGGGGAGGGACTAGGGTTACTGATGTCCCACCTTTCTCTCACTGTCATCATCCAGTTTTATGGAGTCTTTCTGAAGTTCTGCCATCAAGTCATTGGTTGCCATGAAACGAAAGTCTTTGTCACTGGACGTCATCTGCAAACATGGAGAAATCGTTAATTTTTTTCCTCACTGTATCTCGTGTAAAGATGGCTAAAAAGGTTGTTTTCTTAGATGTTGACAAACAATGGAGCACTTGTCATACAGAAATAGTTTTTCTCACTGTATCTTGTGTGTAAAGATGGCGAAAATGTATTCGTTTTCCGAGATGCTGACAAACAATGGAGCACTTACTAGTAGCATTAGTCTGAAGGTTTGTTGGTTTGAAGTTTTGGCAGTCTGAATTAATACATTAATAAAGTGTATAGTGTACTAGCAATTAAGTTTTCAGAGGCTTGAGCATACGATTGTCAGACCAATGAAACTTTGGGACAATGTACCTTCAGATTATTAAGATGTCCTAGTCATATAATGCTTTATATAAAAGCGGATGTGATATTTTACAGTATCATACTTTAATAACTGACACCATTAAGCCAAACAAGTGCAGATGTGTTACACTGAAAAATCAATTATATATATATTATTTTGCTCTGATATTTTACATGAAATAAAGGTCCTTGTATAACTGAACGCAATCTTCAAATATGATGACAGCACGAAACAGGCTGTCCAGATTATTGTATAACCTGATTCAAAAAGTGAAAAAGAGGAAACATTCTAAAATCTCCTTCAGATAGCATACTTGGACAAGTAAATACTAGTATATTTTTTGCTATGCTGACCATAACTAATTTTTTTCAGCTTGGTTGAATTAGCATGGTCTTTGAAGAGGCAATCTGGCAATCAGGAAAACAGACCTGATTATAATCAGACAGAGGTGTTACTGTGAAGTGAAACAATAAAATTAAGCCAGTGCAGTATTTTAGGTGACAGATAGTGCACTTGTCATGTGTCAAAACACAATGATCAAAAAGTTCAAAACAACTCCAGAACAAGTTTTCGTGGCATGCGTACAACACGATTTCCGGCTGAATTCGGGATCCCATTAAAAACAAGACACATATTTATTCACAGCTTATATCAGGCATTGTTTTATTGGAAAAAAACGCCTATTATTATTCACGACGAAACAAGGAAACAATCCAAGATGGCGGACTCCATGAGTGGAGCCGGCGACTTACCTTCTCCAGTAAGTTGGCGATGTGGTAGGAAACGCTCGCCATTTTAATTTTTTCAGTTATCTCAAGCTACAGGTAATTCAGCTACCGATGTTTATCTCTCTTGACCAACGCCAATTGTCTGCAAACTGACAAGATAAGTCTGCAACACGTTAGCACTGCATCGGTCAACAGGACTGGTGGCGACTTCAAGCGGAGAGGTTGAATTGTGTTGTTTTGTCACAGCTAACGCAATGCCACTGCTTCAAATAAATTAAGAATGGTGGATTGCAATATATTCATACCCGCTTTCATATACCACTGATATCAAGGCGCTGAAGTTAGTGTCTTAGATTGTGTCTAGATTCCAATTAAGCTTTTCAAAAAAAAAAAAAAAAAAAAAAAAAAAAAAAAATCACGATTCTGGCAACCAGAAACTATTATCGTTAAAAAACACGATTCTAGAAAAACGGCTACATGCATATGCCCAGCACCTTGTATGATGGAAGATATAGGCCTACTGGTAGGAACTGCTCTTAAGAGCTTACGGAGGTTCAAAATTGAAAAAAGAGTAATATTTCTCCTCTTATCTCACCTATAACTGAAGATAACAGGTTTTAATTTGTTCACGGTGGTCAACGAATTTTAATACGGGAGTTGTGACAATCCTTAGGAATGCTTCCTTTAGGCCCTATCTAAAGCAATCCAAAAAAATAAATAAATAATCATACAGTAGACTAACCAAACATGTTTATGTAGTTCTAAACATGCAATTCATTTCCTTAAAAAAATCCACAATTTTGCATTATAACAGCGTCAGCCTACAAGCAAATCCACATCTCCATTACCACCCATCAGAATAAGATCGTTAACTGAAATGCATGGATGCCCTTAAACTTAGGGACAACAATCTTTATTCCTGACGGCGCACATACTGTACCGCTAATCGTTTAATCTCACTGATAAGTTTTCATCCTCCACAGGCCAGAAATTACCGTTTGTCGCCCATGTAATCATCCACATTCTCCAAGACTGAGATAAAGGAAAAATAGGACAACGCGCGCTATATGTGTGTTCTACCTGCAGCTTGGCACAGCAGGCGTTTACAGATCGTAGAAATATTCTTCTTCACTATGTCAAAACCAAATTATGTTAGCCTATGTGGGGCAATGACAGCCCATTTTTACATTGGGCCTGGGTCTTTTTCTCGCTTTATTTCTTTAGTTATACGTTTTGTGTCTAGCATTCTTTTTTTATTTATTTATTTATCTTTTTTATAATAACAATTGGTATCATTTTGCACACACACACACACACACACACACACACACGCACGCGCACACACACACACACACACACACACACACACACACAGAGAGAGAGAGAGAGAGAGAGAGAGAGAGAGAGAGAGAGAGAGAGAGAGGAGACAAGAAGCGAGACCAGCTGTTTTGACGGCAATGAAAAAAGAAATAAAACATATTTAACAAAACATAATTTATTCACATGTACATGCCATCATAATCAAATGGCGATTTTAAAGCTCCCAAGCAATGGTAAGGCGCCGCATGGCCTATATCACACGTAAATTTCTTCAGGCACAGTTTCATCCGATAAGAGAGAGTCTTTTGCCGATGTTATGTCCCTAAATTTTGCAGAGTTTTAATCTTCTGATGTCTTAAAGTGGTCTGCGCCAAGCACCATGTGTGTGGAAAAGGGTGTTGAGATAATACATTTAGGTTCTTTATCGGAACGCTTTCGTTTCTTCAAGGTGTTGTCACTTTTGGCGATCCGCTTCATTTTCGGAATTAAAACTGAAAGAAAATAGGAGGAACTTCATCACTATACTTATTTCGCCTACAATAAAAATGTTATCAAAATTGATCCCCCAGGTAAAAGCCATTTTACCGTTTGATGCGCCTGTTTACGCTCTAAGTGAATTTAAATTAAAGACCCCGTCATTTAAAGAGATAAAGGCGTTACAAAAATGGTTCTCAATGGAACGTTCATTCGAGGTTTAGTGGGAAACTTAACTTAACGGTATTTCTGATCTTGGTATTAATTATGAAAATGAAGAGTTTGCACGCCGGGAATAGAAGGCGGAGGAAAAACATAAATGTCTTGTAGATTAACTGTCTAAAAAGCGCTAAAAGCATAATAAGGGCAAAACGCACGAATGCGTTGCCCGATATGAAAAAGGGCATGATTTTACACGCAAGCAAATATAAAAGGAGATGCTTTGCTTAAGGCAACCCTTTACTTCATAATTCTCTAAAAAATCTTTCGCCTGAGGACGTGAAATCGAAAAAGATTCATAATCTATAGTGCTATGTGACGGACGCATTTGGGAGTACAAATGTTGCAGCTGCAAGACGACAAGCGGGCTTTATGTTTCTTAATATGATATTTGTAGGATTTATACAAGATCTGCCCTTGGCAGAAACTCATAGTTAAGACAGGAATGGTTGTCATTTTAAGGACGTAGGTCGACGATGGTAAGTGGTTGTGCTTCAGAGAATTTTAGTTCAAAGTAACATTTCTAGATGAACTGACAATTTTATCAGGATAAATTTTTTAAAATAATATACCGTATATCATGTATATCACTGTGAAAAAATTGCGCATTTGTGAAAAAACTCATATAATGGTTTTAAATCGATAATATACGGGCCATAATATTTTAATTAAGAACCCCCTCGTATTAGTACTTAAATAATGAACAGATGTAAAATCCGAACCGTAAAATACAATCTAAGCTTCATGATAAACATATGTACCTTTGGTATGGAATGCATCTTAACCGTAGTAAGGAACGGGATTCTTGTAAGCAGGTCTGTGGAAGTAGTTGCCACCGAATCCAAACGGCATACGGAATCCGCCGAGCCCACCACCATAACCGAAGCCAGGGTATCCGAAGACACCACCATAGCCGCTTCCGTAGCCGGCTCCGTAGCCAGCACCGTAGCCAGCTCCAATACCAGCACCGTAGCCAGCTCCGTAGCCATAGCCGCCATAGCCTCCGTGACCGCTAAGGGGAATGCCTTGTCCGTAACTGCCGGAGCCAGAGTAGCCGTTTGGATAGTAGATGATCCTGTTGCTGCCGTCAGAGGCTGGGTAGTACTGGGTCCCGGGAACGGCGGCGGCAAAGGCCACAGTGGCAAGAAGACAGGCGACTTTGAACATCATCTTGGCGATCTCAGCGTTTGAGGTTGGCGTTGGCTGGCCTAGGAGACTGCTGACTGGTCACCGCTAACTGACCGGCTTTTATACTCCAGCGGTGGCCAGTCCGTAGCGTGGTGGGGGAGATTTCAGATTACAGATAAGGACTGGTCGTTAAAATTGTACCGTAATTTCATCCTTCAACAACCGCATAATGGGAGGGTAAACTGGGGTCTTTTAAGACGTCGACGACTCTCTGTGCTAAGGACATGAAGGCCATTTAAACTGGTAAGGCCCTATTAACACTACATTGGCGGGGCCAGAATTTTGCTGAATTTCGGGGAAGTGGGTAGGACAAAAACATGCCCCCTTGATTCGTGCGGCAAACGTTTGGATTGGTCTCGTTTTTGTTGGTTATATCATTTCTGGGAAGAGAAAAGAGATAGGGAGGAAACTTTTTTTCATGCCATTTTATTCGTTCGTCTAAGTTCACTGAACCTTCTCATTTTTCCTTTTTCCATGAATAACGTCGACAGCCCTCTCTAAAAAAATGGTGTCTGTGTTAAAATCATTATGTATTACATGTATCTACCTAATACACACGGAATCTTGCAAATTCTTGTTTTACAAAAGATTTTATTTCAAATTATCTTATTCATTCCAAATTGTCATTATACCTACTTATACATACGCTGCTTACTGCCCTTAAAACACCTCGCTACAACGCCGCAGATGTTTGTAACCAGAAGTTGTGTCACGGATCATTATTATTATTATTATTATTATTATTATTATTATTATTATTATTATTATTTTGTACAAAAAATATTGCCATTAGTTTTTTTTTTTTCATTTTCACCCAGATTTGTTATTTACACAAAGTTTCACACGTACGTAATGCCTTGCCGTTCCTCATCATGATAATGACATTGAAACTGAATAACAAGAGCCTCTCGTCTGGCAGGTCGTAGCGTTAATCAGCATCTACTTAATTTCTGTCCCGGTGATGTACGATTATAGTGTCCATTCATGGGAACGTGGGTTATAATAGCAGCCCCATAGCTTCTTCGGCCTACTGAATTTTTCATAATACCGCCCCCAGCGCCAGCGCTGTCTTAAACATATAGTGTAACCTTGTGTGACCTGTTAAAGGGCTAAAGTAATAAATACGATTTAAATGCATTTATAAAGATGTACTGTGTTTGGTACAATGTTCGAGCCTGAAGAAGGCAGAACGCCGAAAACTTGGACATTTTAGCAAACAAATTAGATCTTTATCTTAAGAAATTTTAAAAACATCCACACTAGTTTTTCACAAGAAGCTTGTTTATTTTTATTTTTGTATGTCCCCTCTCTAGTCTATTACAGAGAGTATGCTAGTACTGAAATAAGCATGGCTGACCAACATTCCATTTATATTTCTTATGTATTAAGTCTCAGGCATACTAAATTACTAGATCATAATGATGCTGATATCATTTTAATTTCATAAAAACCGCAATTACAAAAGCGTCTGGGTGCCGATTTATGCATTTTATCATCAATTATGATTGACCTTGATGACGATTATTGTTAAAAGTCTGCGTGTAGGCCTAATGTTGAAAGTTACTTTTACAGACCCGTGGCCCTGTGCGAAAAACACGTAAAAAACGTTATTTGTACCTTTAGTACGGATGTCGATGTAGCGATAATCAGAAGGTGATAGAGACTAGAGAACTTTATTCCTCTCTCTTTCTCTCTCTCTCTCCTCTGTCCGTCTCTCCCTCCCCTCTCTCTCTCTCTCTCTCTCTCTCTCTCTTGCTCTCTCTCCCTCCCCTCCCCCCTCTCTCTCTCTCTCCCTCCTCTCTCTCTCTTTCTCTCTTACGCGCAAAACTCAGTCTCTGTCAATGCTCATATATGCATTTAAACAGGTAGTATCACTTTGTTATTTTCATTTTAGAGTACTTGTTTGTGGTAAGGTCACACAACACATAGAGCGTGTTTTAAAACGATATATAGTATTCCCATACAACAAACACATCCAGATTAAAATATGCGCCTCCTCTCAATACTAAGTACTACCGCTCCAGTATTACTCGCTTTAATGGACAACAAAATATGGGAGTAAAATCCAAATTAATGGCATTGAAATATTGCACCAATACACAGCAAATCGTTTTAGAGATACACAGAGACGTGCCCTCTATGGCGAACAGGGATGTAAATTTTTGGGACATAAAATATTTGAATTAATGGCACTGGAATATTGCAGGAGAACACAACAAATCGTTTTAGGGGTACACGGAGACGTACTATTTATGGCAAACAGGGATGTCATTTTCATTTTGAGATGTAAAATATGCACGTGTCTGGAAATAAATCACCCAATCTGCAAATCTAACGATTCAAATTTATCCTGCAAAACGATCTCTGATTGGTTCGCAGGGTGTGGTCACGTGTTCGGCAAGTAGACAAGTTGTTCAAATAAAGATGCTAAATCCCAATGCAGAAATAAATAGTGTATATATTGATAGCACATGGAAGTACCAGGATGCCGCATCATGTTTGATATTGACGAGTATAAATTCGCATCGTTTTAGTTGCAGTAGGCCTACTGGTTCTATTGAAGAGAGAGAGAGAGAGAGAGAGAGAGAGCGGTTACTATTCTAAAGCTTTAATAACAAACAGACTGAACAAAACCTTTGCAAGTTAGTACATTGCACTGTACTAGTAGTTAGTCAACAGTGTTTTTAACTCTACGCAGTTGTGTATATTCTATGCATCACAATAATTGAATTGACCAATTTCCATAGCTTTCTGATGCTTATATTGATATTTTCAACACTTAAAAGGTAAAATTATTTACTTCATGCCCTCATTATCAAAGTCACTTTTATTGTAGTAATTATGTGGTTCCCATGTCAGCATTAACGAAACTACACTTACATGTGCTGGTATACCTACAACTCCCACCTTCAGAGCATTTTATTTTTTTCAATTGGGCAAAACCCTAACACCACTCTTGAGAAAGAAGCAATATCTACACGCACTAGTACACTGTACACTTACGCAGTATGGCGCTGGATAATTTTAAAATGCGAACTGAACGAGTTCTCTGTTTCCTCATACTCTAATCAGTACATCTTCACCTGGACAGAACACGCCAATAGCGTGACAACCCGAGAGTACTTAAAGATCAACACAGTTAAACCAACGGGACGCTTTTAATTACTATATTTAACATATAGGTAGTTATAATTATTAAGGTTCTTCACCTTGTATTTTTCTTATCTCTTTGGCGTGTTATACAAAACACAAGATCAACGCTAAATGGCGATAGATGGCACAGAAAGGGTTTTTGTTTTTGACGAAATGTACTTGAATTATTCCAGAAACTTTAGGTTCTTTCATACATAATGTGTGTGTGTGTGTGTATGAGAGAGAGAGAGAGAGAGAGAGAGAGAGAGAGAGAGAGATACAGTTTGTAAGATAAGTAAAAATGTGTTAGCTCTTTCATGGCAAAGCACCCCACGTGCTCTTGACCTATTTCAGCGTCTGTACCCTAAGACCTTATAATGCCACTAACATATTTTTACTTGACACGACCCGTCCAGCCATCAATTATATCACCAAAACTCAGTAGCAGGTGTGAACACTTTATGACCACCCTGGTCAACTCATACGGCTTAAACTCTTTCTTAAATTTATCCTAAAAGTGTCCCATACAAGATTCGTTATTTTATTATATTTTATTTAAATTGGTCTTGGTATGCATGCAGGGATGGTCCTAGGAGTTTAAAATACAATCGCCCTTTTGGAAAAAAAAATTGTATAAACCTCTATTTTTCAAGTTGGGCAAGTATAGGGGTAAAAATGAGTGACTACGGGACTTAAATTATTCATTTGCAAACTCAGAAAAATGACGTTAGACATAATTTAATTTATTATTATTTATTTTTATAATCCTTTTTGTAACATTGCAATGCTCTTTTCGTAATCGTTATTTTACGCCTATAATATTATAATTTATTATTATTTATTTTTATTATCTTTTTTGTAACATTGCAATGCTCTTTTCGTAATCGTTATTTTACGCCTATAATATGTATTTTGAAATTTTCTCGTTTGGATTAACTGGCACATATCGTGTAACAGAAGTCAGTGATTAGCAAAAAAAAAAAAAAAAAAAACGCTTCTCCGGTTTAGATATATGCCTTGTACTACCATATGTCTCTGGACGTAAAGTAAAATAAATAAATAAATAATAAATGAATAAAATAGATAAATAAATAGTTTTAAAAAAGGTAAAGTATTTTAACTTTCATTACATAATGATGAGGTGTTCTTTTATAGGTGACCAAATTCAACACTGTTCAGCTTAATATTTTTTTTATTGATACAATGACTATGATCTAAAAAAATATAATAATGTATGATAAACTGATGTATACAGATAAAAACCAAAAAATGGCCACAGCATCTGAGGTGTCTGTCAAGAGAGGCAATTGCTATAGAGAAGCTGCCACAATTGCTTCGGTTGTTTGGCCAATGTTGTCTCAGTCACAGTTTGAGTACAACAAATTGTGGACAAACAGAAACGACAGTGTTCAATGACATCGTAACGTAGCCACTGCAAAATTAAGGCTCTCTCTCCAAAATAGTACTGCAAACTAAAAGCGACACAACTAAGCACATTCGTCCATCCATCTGCCCTACATATTAGAGTCAAACTCTCCTCGTCAAAATATGCAGAGCGACTGTTTCTGCTCCCTCATTCTCCCCCCCCCTCCGTCCCTCGCTTGGAAAACTCCTATATCCACCAGCGTAAAATGAATTAAACAATCAAGCATTACTGCCCGATAATTTACATCCACTCACTTTAGGTCACCGCCCATCTAGATAACCCGTTGACATTTCCTTAAATACCTTGATAAAACCAATAACACAGATAATGTGTCACTACAGCGAAAATAAGCCAATGATAACATCAATTAAAGTCAATTGAGGGTTATTTTTCTATTCTTTTTCTTTTTCTTTTCTTTTTTTTTTTTTTTTTTTTGTGCTGAGAACTTGTTATACGATTTGTAGTTTTTTTCTCATGCGCTT